GGGCACTAACAGTGAATGAAAGGACGCAATACAAAGCATAAAGAAAATGCGACCTAAAAATATGTGATATCGCTCGCCAGCGGCACTGCTCAAAACTTGAAAGCTACAGGTCTATACACCAACTCATGTTTACAAACAAACCGGAGCGCCCGGAGCGCCCCTAGCGGACGCCACCGGCGCCGCGCATGCGCGATGGGGGTGTGGGCAAAAAGCTCGCCGTCGCCCATAAACAAACCATTGAAATGCGATGTTGTCGGCGCCGGTGTGAGTCCCCGCGCTCGTTTTCGCGTTAGAACTGTTGATTCTATGTCCTCCTAACGATGTCTGACTACTTGAGCAGCGTCAGCGAAATTAACGAGGCTCGTTACACCGCAAAAGTTCGCGTGAATAATCTGGCATGCGGCGATTCATTCCGCGTGGACGCCGCAGAACGTACGCTAAAGCCTGATTCACATGATGAGATTTCGCTCGCACTTTTCAGTAGCGACGTCGCTCGGACTGCAAAAGCGTGAACCGTAGCTGAGATGGTCGACGTCGATACTGAAAATCGCAGGCAGAATCTAACCAAGTGAATCAGGCATATTGAGTCGGTGATGGCCACTGGTAACAATGATCAACATCTCCTTGTATCGACTGTTTACGTCGAGCCTGCTTACCAACCTTCAAACATAAGTCTTTTAAGGCCTGCACTTAATTCTTATCGCAAGTACCGGGCCCACGTTTGGTCTACAGGCCGGTGCACGTGTCCTCTAAAAGAGCAGACGACAAGCAGAAACGTTTGAAAGAGCAGACGACAGTTCGAACGATCAGGCGGCCGTTTGAACTTGAAGACGCACTGAACGTAGTCCGCAGGTGGTCCGTACAACTTGACAATTTTCCGGCGCTCATTTTGGAACAAAACAAATAAATTTGATGACCAGAAGTATTCGTGAATTCAACCCAAAATGCTTCCCGCCCAAGCAATCGTGGTCCGACGGCGTCTAATTTTGCCTTTTCACGGCACATATCCATATTCTCGGACGAACGGAGCACGTGAAAAATGACCTTCAAACCCTTCTCGACACTTTTGGTATGGCCCCAGTCGCAGCATTTTGACGACAAGGCAGGTTTTTGTCTGGTTCCTTTCAAAACAACGCAGGAATACACGTCTCAAATGGGCACTTCCGCCCACAGCCCCAGACCGGAAGTGTGTCCGACGCGCCACCACCGCGCCGTGACGTAACAGAGATGAGTTGGTGTATATGCACCAGACATCACAACAGGGAGACACAAGGCTTGCGAACCATGTTTGGCCGATCAGCCGAGCCAATCCAGTAGAGAAAGTGGTGGGGGGGCAACTGTTCTGTGGGCACGTCTTAGAGGGGGCCATGACCTCCACCTAAATGCACCTAATGATGTAAATATTGCGCAAAAATGTTTTGCTTGTGGAAATATATATAAAAAATATTGTTTTTTTATTTTCGTGTTTTATTTATTTTAAGGAGCAGCAGGGAGTTTGTTCATAAGTCTGATCGAGAAGTTGCATCTGTGGACAAGAACAAAGCCGAACAGTGGCGCAAGGAACGAGATATGAAGTTACAGGGAGTAGGGTTTATGATGCAGGCGAAACTGCCTTGTTTTCTAAGATGAGACCTATGCGAATGCATGCACTGAAGGGCAACAAATGCATCCGTGGAAAGTGCAGTAACGTGAGAATTACCGCGCTCCTGTGTTACAATGCAGACAGCAGAGGCAGGCGCTTGCCCTTCGTCACTGGAAAAGTAAAGAAACAAATGCATTTCAACGGGCTTCTACCCGCAAGGTGCCGATCAGTGCTAAAGCGTGGACGTGCACCTCGCATATTTCCGGAGCTCCCAGTCTGAAACCACCTCAAAGACAGAGCCGTCAAAAAAGAAAATATGTGCAGTAAACGGAGAGAGAGGGTTGAATATTGAGCAGAAAGATGGACAGAATGTGGAGGTTTTCTCAACCATGAGCAGCGGCATTTTGTGTCATCCTTTGCTATCTGTGAAAGTGAGAGAATTTCGTGGCTGCGTCGGAATGAAGGGAACCAAACCGAACAGGAAGAGGTCTGGGTGCATTGCGGATGTTTGTGCACAAATTTAGCATATGTCTTCATTTGTTTGTCGTTGTCTCCCTAACCATCCAACGAAGCATTGCTATCAAGATCAAGGGGCTTTGTCTTACACACTTTTTCTATGTTCCGGCACCAACATTGCAGAAACGTTCACGGTTGCCAGTCGCTTGTTTAGTTTGTGCAATGACAACACAGACAAAGTGATGGCAAACAGCCATTGGAAGAATGTATCCAAAATCGCAAAGACAAACTGGCAGCTGATTGCGAGCAAAAAAGAGATTTTTCCCGTTATATCTTGCGATTTTCTTCATCGTGGACACACTCGAACCTCATGGTCCAGGATCGCGGCATTCTGGATGAATACGTATTGGCTGATTTCATGATTCCCAATTGGGGATTTTGTGGAAGTTCCTGATCTTTCGGTGTTATTTAATGGTAACAGATTTGATTTCGCTTGTGAACACGGAGAAAGATTTTTTTTTTTTCTCTCTTGTGTGTCTTTGTTGTGAACATCCTCCAACCTTGTAGTACACAGTGACGACATTTGGGGAGAAAGGGTGTCCTGTGGTACGTTTGACCCAAGCCATTTTGTAGCACCTTTTGAAACAGTCATCAGTCCTAGGGTGCCTTCATGTGCGCTTTGCTTGGGGTGATGACATCTGGCCATTTTGTTTCGAACGCTTATTTTTATTTTTTGTTCTGAAGCGCGTGAAAGAGCGCGTCCTTGCATGCGCTCATGGCGCTGACTGTGCTACGGCGACATTTTGTTTCCAGCGATTTTTTTGTATTTTCCCTGTGAGCACGTGCTGTCGGCATCGGGTACTACAAACGATGGCATCACCCTAAACAGAAGGACATTGAGGCACTCTAATCAGTCCATTATGAAGCAGCAGAAAGTACTTTTGGAGCACAAATACACAGTTTATTTTTATTCATACTACTGTGAATATGATTTGTTAAAAATTGTGTGCTCGCCTATCCAACTAAAAAAAAAGAAGACATGCATGCTTTGCCTCCACATTTCTGTGCAACAGCAGGCTTATATCCTCCAACAGAGAACTATCTGTTTAGTTGCACTTAAAAGCACTAGGCATGGCAACAAGACGCTGATTGGTGAAGGACAGTCTGTGAATGGTCATTTTAGGTACGATTAATGTACACAAATTAGTATATTCCACTAAAATAATGTTAGAATAATCTTGAGTACACAAATTGATCACTGAAGTTCTAAAGGTTGTAATAAAACAAAAACTCTTAATTCAAATTTAAAAAATGAAAGACATTTACAACACCCTGTAACGCCAAATTAGAGCGCAGCTCTTGAGGAGGAGGAGGGAGGGGTACTGAGGGGAGGGTATGCCCCTTCTCATCCTCCCTGCTACTCTTCCTCCTCCTCCCCTCCTCTCCACATCCCCCTCCTCACACGTTGCATCATGAGAAATGTCCGATCACGCACAGCGCGGGACCCTTGTGACCTCACGTGTAACGTCACGAGTACCACGCTTTGCATTATGGGACATTTCCCATAATGCATTGCGCGGCTACGCCGATGGCGACATCGACGCCGCTCAAACCGAAAACGGGCACCTAAGAGCTGTGCTCTAAAAAAAACTTTTATCATTAAATTATGAAAATCAATGACATTTTGTAGAACAACCTCAAAATAACAGATCGGCGGCAGCCAGTCATTAAGCTTATCTGCAAGCTTACTTCTACTCCTACACCCAATTTAATTTTAATTTATTCTATTGACTGTACTTCGAACATATAAAACATATATACAGGTGACAACTAAAACAACAGAGTTCAAATAAAAATAAACCTATAAAGCAGTTCATATAAATTTTCTTAAGAGTACCCTTGCTAAAACCCAATTTTGAAAGACATCGCCAGAATACTGCAGTCCATCAAAAATAATAGCCACAGTTTAATTAAGGAATTTTTACTGCAACTAAAAGCTCTCACGAAGTTTTTTTTTTTTTTTTAATATACAAGACGCTTGCATATTTAATTATTCTCGGGGTATGCTTTCCCTTAAGCACTCGGATGCGCTGCAGCGAAGCAAGATAAGCAAATTCGCAATGCTCACTTCGTGGCTGCCGCTTCACTGCAGTACACATGAGCGTGGTAAGAAGTGAACTCAACAAAGCTAACTTACACACCAGAGCAGACTAGAACGTAAGATATGGTGCAAGTTCTGAGTCCTGTCAGCGTTTGACACCGACACAGATCACATAGGGTAGTATGTTACTTATGATTAAAATTGGAAGTTCTGAAAGTTTGCACAAGCCTACCATAGCAATCAGAACGTGTAGCAGGCCTGAGCCATTTTACTTTCAGTATAAATAAAGTTAAATCAAGTTTTGGCGCAATGTTGGCACAAGTTCCTCACATTTGGGCTAAATGCAGCACGACGTAGCAGGGTCAGCCCTTTGGCGCAGTTTGGCACAATTGGCGCAACAATTACGTCACTGGATGTCAGCAGACGTGATCTGCAGTTGTTTTTTCTTTTTGTTGTAAAAGTAGGTTATTTTTTATGTTTTTGAGAAAATTAACAACTTGACCAAATCTTTGGCATAGCTGTGGTTTCACCGATGGGTGTCGAATAGAACTTTTGCGGTAGCGAATGTTTTTCCTCAAAATAAAAAAATGATCTTATCGTACACACCAAGTTTCTAGCACAGCAAAAGAATGAAGACGTTAACATCAATCGCCTGGAACACTAAAATCATCACCTGGAGTGAACAGATGTCTCCAGGCAGGTCACTCGAGCTCTTACAAATAGGAAGCACAAAAAGAGCACCGCCTACGGCGGATATCTCGCACAGAAAGAGTTTGTATCGTCTAAGAATGGGCAGAAGCTGCCAGAGAGCTAAGGACTGGAATGGACGAAACTGCGGCCGAACGCAGAAGCCAGCCTCACCAGCACCGAGAGCAGCAGCAAGACCCCGATGCTGAGGTAGGTGGCCAGCGGGAACCGCAGGCAGAGCAGGACGGCCGGCCAGCAGCGCCCCCCGTGGCGCTCTCGCAGGTGGCACAGTTCGTCCACCAGGTAGCAGGCCTGGCTCAGCACCAGGGCCAGCACCATCGTCAGGGTAACCACAAACAGGTGCACCCCTGCAAGCAGGGCAGAGCCCAGGCGCCTGGAACACGTCTACCATAATATTCAGAGTAATCGCCCACCCCCCTGCCACCTGAAATGCCTAAAAAAAAAGTGGGGTGTGCCACGTCTTGGTGAGTAATCACAGAAAATTTAAAAAAAAGCTAAAAAACACTCACTTTTTTTTTTTTCACGTATCTAGCGTGGCTGCACAAGAGAAAGATTAAAACTCAAAACTCAAATAAGTTTCATTGTTTTATGCAAGAAACGCTCATGAAAGAATGTTTTACTATCGCAAAGTCCGTTGCTTGCATACACGCAATGAACACTGCAAATCGTCAAAGAAAGCGAATGTCTGTTCCGTGAAAGCATGTTTTTAACATTGCCATGTCCTCTTCGTTAGTACAAAAAGAAGAAAAAACAGTCAAAAAGAAAAGGAAAAAACCAACAAGGCGCAACGAGTGAGTGAGCGAGTGGACGAAAGAAGCGACGAAGAGCAATGCTGGGGAAGCGAAAAAGCCGGCAATCGCGTTAGCAGACATTTTGGACATTTGGCGTCGGGCCGAGTCAGGCGCCTCGTTAATTGCAAGGGGCAGGCTCTTGTGCACTTTTCTTGTTTGGTGCACACGTGTGCATCCGTGCACGGCATACGTGGCACCACGAACACGGAGCTCAAAATCTTTATTTACCCGTTGTCTTCGTCTCGAACATTGTACAATTTTATCAACCACGTTCGGTCGTGACGTTCCGGGAAAAGCGAGTTTGCGGTGACCTTACTTCGCTGGAGATGGACTTTGACCTTACACCCCACAGTTACATACCAGGATATGGGGCATTCATTGACCTCGCGATCCCTGAATGGGTTACTGCTTGCGTTATCTTTCCGACTTTTTTTTTTGTCCGAGTTATTTTATTTTAAGCAAGACAAAGATTCATTTTATTATCTCCATCGTTTGCCTTGGGCATGCATGTACTCTGACTACGGGGTCACGAAGATCAGGGAGGAATAAACAAAGTGAAGTGTCTTTCCCTCCTTCGTTTTACTTTGTCATGGAGGTCCTCTAGCCGCAAGGTGCGCGGCTGTGCCATTCAGGTATGATGAATGTTTGCGGATAGCGGAGTCCGCGTAGACGTAAGCGAAGACTCTGTGTTTTTTCTTTAATATTCGCCCAAAACGTAGAGTGGGCACTGACTCGGGGTATTCCGGTACGACCGGCGCGTTTCCCGCGTCACAAATGAGATTTCTCGATTTCCATCCTATGATGTCGCAGAAGTGTCATTCACCCGCGCTGCCACCATCCTCCGGGTCAGGGTTGGGCAGAAATACTCAAAAATGTATTTGGAAATACAAATACTAGGATACATTAAAATAGTAGCTAAAATACTGACTCTGAAATATATCTGTAAAAGTGTATCGCGATACGTATCGGAAATACATTTTAAGTAGAGGCAAAAAGTATTTGGAAATACAAATACAGGAATACATTTTAGGGAGGGCAGAAATACAAATACAGAAATACTGATACTGCAATACATTTTTTTTTTTTTTTTTTTTCAAATTTGTTTGAGACGCCAAACGAGATGAAGCTTGAAGTGGAAGTTTTTGATTCTGAAATTAATTTCTCATAGGCTTGGCACTTTGCCTTGAAGGTAGTGATTTCGGACGACGAGTAGTCTTCAGTGGGCTCAAAAAAACGTTCCATCAAGGACTGACCTTGGTCCCTTCCCTGACATCCTGTCTGTCTGACAAGGGATGTGAAAAGAATTAGACCTGTATATAAATTCTATGTCATCCTAAATTCCATCAAAATGTCACCATGCCCCTGTCCAATAAGGACGCCCTTGTCAACATTTATCACATGACGTCACAGTGGAATGAACTGGTATTCTTTGTCTGTAGGTGATGGCCTTGAACATGAAACTTTACCGCGCTGTTGTATGGAAGGACAATACGTGCTTTCGTTGTAGGTTACCTTGCTGAACATCATGCGGGCAGTGTCATTTGGAATTTTCGAGAATAGTGGACCACCTGAAGCATCTTGGAACACGTCTTCTGTTACGGTTGATAAAACGATACGGTGGCATCCCTGTTGTGAAGGTCCTTCCTACCGAACCTCCACCACCGACGGATGGATTGCAGTCCTCAAGTTTCGTCTTGCATACTCCAGATAGAAACCTCGTGGATTGCGACCTGACATTGCCGGCACAGGTGCGAGCTCTCCGATAAACAGCGCGCTCGAGACGAGTCGCAGGTGTACGAAGTCTGGGTCGGCACAGCGAGGCCACGTCTGATCTCCGTCCTGGGTTTCGGATCACCAGAGCAGCGGGACACGTTCACGTCGGCTGATGACGTACCCTTGCGCCGTGCAATATTACGGGCGCAGCCGCAGACGCATTCGAATATGTGTTGAACTTCACTGCGTGAGTCATCCTACTATTTCAAGTCAACCACCGCCAGGCTCGTGCTGGAATGGACTGTGAATTAGCTTTGCCGGCTGGGTGAACTGTGTACGCTAAGGCGAGCGAGACGGTTAGCAGCGGGCTTTGGATGCCAGCAAACAATGACTCAAGAAACCCCTACCTAAGGACCTGCAGCAGAAAATGCTCCGACTCCACTCCTGGCACGCTACCTGGTTCGAGTCCCCGACTATGCGACACTTCTCAGAAGAGAAAAGAGGACGCATAGAAAAATATGTGTGAGAATCGGAAGGGATTTCGGTCAGCATGGCAACAATGCCCCAGCATCTCGTTGACCCTAATGTCCTCAAAAGTAAAAAAAAAACAAAAAAAAAAAACAAAAAAAAAACTTTTGGATTTGTATTTTTTTTTCCTGCGGGGGGGGGATTTCTCAAGAAATGTAACGAAATACATTTCACCCCGATTGTATCGCGATACAAAGAAACATTCAAAATTTATTTCAATACAGGAATACAGATACTGGTGAAAAAAAGGTATCGCGATACAGAAATACTGATACGAAATGTATTTCTGAAATACAATCGCGATACATTTGTATCGCGATACTGCCCAACCCTGCTGCGGGTGGCGTAGCAGCGCAGATGAATGCGGAAGGCGTCCGTTCTGCCATGGATCGCACTAGGGCTTCGGCCGCCAGGAATTGCAACGGCGGTGGCATCCGCTTTCACTCGTGCTTCCTTGAGAAAATTCTACAACCGACCACCAGGATCGCAACATGACAATATGACATGCCGGATTTTGCGACGTCGTACGTTGCCAGCAGAATGTGGGCCAAAGACATTGGGAGGTGTGGAACACGAGGCAACCGGTCCCGAGACAAAAAGCGCCGAGAACGTGAGGAGAAAAAGGGGGTCACTGTAAGGGTTTAAAAGATACAAAACTTGAAAGTATAAAACAGAGGACGAGGACGGGAACAGGACATTTTTCTGGTGACTTTTCCCTTTTTGCCCTTCTGTTCTTGGGAATTATTGTTTCAGGCTTGTGCATGCACACACTCAATGAACCGTTCCATATAGTCGTGAACGGGCGAAGAAGGGAATCGACAGCCACCGTCATCACGAAACACACGCTTTGTTATGGGTGTTGGCAGGATGCAAACAGTCTTGAACATGTTACTCAAAACAAGTAATCTATTACAATTATACTAGTTTAAAAAGCATTCAATTAATTTACTTGATTACTTACGAGGAAAATTAATTGAATGTTGCTTGAAAAAGTCACCATTAGTTTTCCAATTACTTCAGCTTTCGATACAGGGCTTTCATACTGTTCTTTTGTGGATTAGAATCACTGGACCACAAACTACTCATCCCAGTACCCGTGGAACGCCAACCGCTAATCTTGCACGTTACAAAGCTCTTGTGTTTTTTGTCCCACCTCAGCTTCAAAATTAAATAGTTTTGGTTACCTTAAAGGGATACTGAACTGAAATTGGGAGTTTGCAAAATAAGGGATGCTACAAACTCCAAAACATCACTCATACATCAATATCTCAAACGGATAGCCGTATTTTTAAAAAAGAAGGGCACAATCAAGCGGTCCTTCTGTAAAATTTGAGAATGAGGGAGAGGTGGCCTTGCTTCTCTCCTCCTCGCTTTGGTTGACCAGATTGACGGGACCTAGCGGAGAGGAGAGTGAATGAGAATCATGACGCGACTTTTCTCGTCGGCCTGGTTGGCCGTTTTCAATACAACGATCCGTTAGAGATAATGCTATATGAGTGATGTTTTTGGGTTTTGCAGCGTCTCACCTATCGGTCCAGCCTTGTTTTGTGAGCTCGAAATTTCAGTACAGTACCCCTTAAGGGCACAAGAGTGTAGAGGTGCTCCGAGGAGAATTTCAATTTCCCTAAACGGGGAGGGGTGGACCGTTTGAAAAGTTAATGAAGAGTTAATAGATTAACCATCAAACTTCACACGGAAGGGCTCTTGTAGAGAACTCGAACTTCGGAATCTTTGCTCGAAACCCAACAGACCATTTCAAGAGCATTTTCTTGCGAGGTGTGGAAAAGTAACCCAGTGTGGATTAATTCTTTTATTTCTTTTTTTTTTTAATGGTAATTTCTTAGGTTTTTCTGCATTTATAACTGCAACAACTTCTCTCACTCTTCTCATCATCATGCGGTAGACACTGCAGGAGCAAGGAGCAGCAAATGGGAGGCTTCCATAATTTGTTATGCACTTCAGCCCTATGGGATTTCTGCAAAATGCCCATTAAACTGCGCAGCAAAGCATTTCTCACCAGTGTCCTGTATCTGCTTGAAGACCAAGCAGACGGCTATCCCGACGGACACAAGGAGGCAGAAGAGGCCAAAGGGCAGCCTTCCGCTCCTCCTCTGCAGCACCGGGCCAAAGCCATTGTTTTCGCCGGCCGTCAAGGTGCACGGCGGGAGCAAGCTCGATGGCGAGGCTCCGCTCTGCTCAGGATCCGCAAGGAGTGGGGCTCCTGGAGGCGAGACAAGGAACGGTGACCTCGAGCACCCTCTTGGGGGCCCTCCCAAACAGGAAAAATTACCGGCATGAAATGCAGTATTAAGGGAGCGATCGTCTAAATTTGGTTAAAAGACATTAGACAGTTGAACATACTGTCTATGTCACACCACATTGTACTATCACCTGACACTGGCACTTCACACAGTGACGTCATCGTGTCGAGCCGCGGTGTCACCCAATGCTAAGATGGCGCAGGCCTGATGTCATGAGACCCAACGTCACATGACGTCGAGTCGTGCGACATCAATTCCCCTCCAAATTTAGTGGGAAAGTGCACGGATGGAGGAATTTCTGAGATTGGGAGGCTACATTAAAAAGCATTTCATGATCTAATAAATGAAGAACGCAATTTATATGCATGAAGCTTTTTATTAGCAAAGATTTTCCACTAAGAGGCACAAAGCAAGATGAGAAAGCAATCTGCAGTGAAAAACACGTGCAGGTTCAGATATGTAATTCTTGCATTCCAGACCTGATTGAGAAACAAATTTCTTCAGTGTGCTGACCTCGCAAACTTCATCTCCTATCTACTTATTTACCAGGGTGTCGAACCGGAACCGAACCGAAAAACGGAACCGAACTGGTATTTTTTCCGGAACTGAACCCGAACCGTTATATTGTTATTGCGATGAACCCGAACCGGAAAAAAAATAACGGTTACCGGCTCATGTCAAAACGGTTCAGCCACGCGCTGTTGACAATGAAGTGCTATCAATGCCCTTTGTTTTTTAAGTGCCGTCAACTGACACACACCTCGCTTACATATTTTTATTCTCCACTCAGTCTTAGGAATATAAACGCTACATCCATGAATCTTGACAAACGCTGCATCCATGAATCTTGGCATAGGAAGCAGTATTGCGTTGGTCGCGGCTTGCACGGAAAAAAAAAAATTGGAAAGCTGTGCAAAAAAAAAAAAAAAAAAATCGCGTCACGGGATTTTATTTTTCTACAATCTCGTAAATCCTAAATGCTGCTGTGCGCTCATTTCATAACACGTTTCTAGAACACGCGAGTTCTTGAAGCTTGCTTCCATCGGAATGAAAGAAAAGGCTGTGGAGTTTGATAATATTGCATCCGGTTTCGTATAGGCACTTAGAAGCGAACATATTTGTGAGACAGCGAACTCTTCTATTTTAATATTTATCCTATTACGTCCTTCTGGCGTTGCGTTCGGTGAAGTGTTTTTCATATTCCGTATCTTGTTTAATGAAACCTTCTTTAAGGGTCCAATTTGAGTTACCGAAGGCTAGTTCAAATAAAGAAAGCTGTATTTTCTCCCCACTGTTCCTTCAATTGCTTACACGCCGAGGTGGCGGGATAGTTAGCGAGTTCTACTTGTAAGTGGGTTTGTAAGGAGGTCGCGGATTTTACAGCTACTGCGTCGGACCCAATTAGATGAAGTCCGAATGCGTAAACGTCGGTAAGGTAACCTTTGAGTGCACATAAAGAAACCCTGAGCCTTACACTACGATGTATCCCATTTCGTATGTGCTGATTTCAGATATTTTATTTGTAATTTATTTTGATGTTGCAATTTGTCATTTATAATTTCCGAACCGGTTCAGCGCCGCGAACCGGTTCGCGGATCGAATTAATGGAACCGGAACTGAACCGGAACAAAATAAATTTACCTGAACCTGAACCGTAACCGAACCCGTATTTTTTTCGGTTCGGCACACTGTTATTTACAATGCATATTTTTGGTCCACAACTGTACCTCCCACATATTATAAAGCTGCACTTCAAGCATTAAAGACAGTGGCATCAGAACAGGAGTCGGTGGCACCACGGTTCCCTCGAACCGAATGCACGTCACAGAGTTTGGGGGTCATGGCATTCTACGTTGGTGAAATTCAGTGGATTCACTGTTCCAACTGACAGAACATTACCTCGATGTTGCGAAGAGCTCATTTTCGCAAACTTTGCAGCTCGTAAAATATAATGAAAACACTGATCTCATGAATATATCACCTCACGAATTGGGATACGTGTCATATAACCCGATTGTGGAATTTTATGCCCGCAGGACATTTTCGAAACCCACGCTTCGTAAAATTAGCGATACACTGAGCCCTCATAAATAAATTCGTTTACAGTATATGTGTCTATGGCACTGCTGCAGCCCACCATCTTTTCTTAGCTGCTTTCTTCCTTCGGCTACTTCTTTGCCCACTCTTTCGACCATTGGGACCCCCTTTCGATGCACCTTTGATGATTAGGCATTAAAGTTGCGCAAAAATAATATTTGCACAATGACCCATGCCAGTTTTTCCATTTTATATTTTGACATTACAACTGTCACATATATCGTAGGCTAACGTGTCAGCGGAACGTTCCACTGGTCACGTTGCCATGGTTACCTCGAAGAGCATTGCCATATTGGCTGTCATCATCAAACTCATCAGTAAAGACGGGCTTTTGGCCTACACTCCATTTTCACTCATTCGATACCAAAGTGAAAGATGAGGAAAATTACAAATAAATCCGTCTGTGTACTCGTGTTGATAAGAATTACAACATACTTCACCCAATGAAGGATGTCTGAAAGGAGGAAACACTATTTGACGCCACCACCGGTCTGCGCCAGAGTGAGATCCTGGCCACTTAACCTTATAGGTACATTTTTCTCTTCCCTTCGCCAAAAGGCGAAGTCCATCTCCAAATGGAAACAAATATCCTGGGATAGCTGTTCGGATAAAAGACCAGTATAGCGCGAGCCTTATTTTGAAAGTCGTTTTAGTCAGGGGGGCACCAGTACATTTGTGTTACTAGTTGAGACATTAAAGATTCTACAGTGTCATCATAGCTTTTTTTAAAAGGACAGCACTGTGTGAGAGGTCGCCCCTCGGCCAAACCGCTCAATTCTCGTATTTATTCTCCGCGTGCTACGGTTCTCACAAAGGCCCCGAGTTCGTTCTCGCAGCGGGAGTCCGGTACAAGAAATAACATAGCAACAGGTGGAAAAGCAGTCAGCAGCAGTATACAAGAAAGTACTGCTGACCGCTATCCATATTAGACAATCCCAGGACATGCGGCGATGTGGCAAAGGCGCACGCTTCTTGGCAGAAATTTTAATCAGATTTGATGACTTCTACTTCCGTCCTGGATCTCTGGATTGAATCGATGAAGGCAATGAGCACACCTCCCTGTTCAGCCAACCTAGCCAGATGCTCTGAGCAGGTCTTTCACATTGGTGGAGACTGTAACTGAGGAACTCTGGTTTGGGACATTAATTTCTCACACCTCTTTGCATATAACAACATCGATGGTAATCGCTGCTTCCACTGCACCACCCAGGTTCGATGCCTCATTTGGACAGCTTCCAGCCAAAGTGTTGCAAGCGTCAGTCCCCTTGAGTGTCTAATTGGGCATGCTGCACAGGAGAGCAACTCCAGACAAAAACTTCTGGTGTCGCTCTCCTGCTGAACCTGTACCGAAAACGCTGGACCGTAATAATACAGGAATCAACTCCATTCTGAAAGCGGCTGTGGTTCTCCTAAGAAACATTGCTCCCATCTTATTTTTCTTAACACTCAGCACTTGGCACTAACTAATCAGACATTTTTTTTGTTTATTATTGTGATGCAGAAAAAAAGAAAAGGAAGGAAACAAACACGCGACAAATTGAGACCTTCTCTTGTCGTACCAAGATGCCAAATCAATGCAGCGGGCGTCGACGAGCCTCCACAAAGGCCTATGCTGGGGAGAAGGACAGAGTAGCACCTAAAGTGGCAATAAACTGTCCTGCTGTGGCAATGATGAAGGGAAGCAAACACAATGAGCGGATACAAAACCCGAAGGTCGGTTATGGCGGCACCCATGCACAGCTGCCTGAAAGCGTCTATACATAGAGTTATTATAATGTACGCTAGAGGTTCAACTGGCGCTTGTGTCTATGCGACTTACATGACGCAAATTGAAGCAGACAGCAACCAGTCTGCTTTTGCGGTGCTCCTGTGCATTCCTAAGGGAAAACGCTTGTGCATTTTGTCTCCTTGCCGGAAAATAACACGGAATGCTTTGGTTAATTGGGTCGTACTGAATAGTATCCCAGGCGAAAATTTCTAACTGGGACCAGTTGGCACCTCAACTGATTTCAACTGGGACTAACTGGTCCCAACTGGGAATCAACTGGGACTAACTGGTCCCAACTGGGAATCAACTGGGACCAATAGGAGTCCAACTGGGGCCAGCTGTGGGGTCAACTGGTTTGAACCATTCCCAGTTGGGAGTCAACTGGTTTGAACCATTCCCAGTTGGGAGTCAACTGGTTTGACTCCCAGTTGGGAATGGAGTGCACTGGAACCAGTTAGGAAAGTAACTGGTTGGAGCGATTCCCAGTCGGACTTCAAATGCCTTTCCCGTTCCCAGTTCACACTGGGCAACAATTTGGACAAGTTGGGGGTGTATTGACCTATGCTAATGAAGAAAACTAAAAACACAAAAATTTTTTGATTTATACAAATAGGGAATTTTAATTACTGGGGTACATTTATATATTTATAAAAATAATATAAAAATTTTAATTAACTAAATAATTTTTTAATTGGAAAATATAATTAGTGACAAAATATGTTCACCTAAATGAACATTTAGTGAATTATTAAAATATATTAAAACATTTATTTAAATACCTACAGTATTTTTTTTTTTCTTTTAATAAATAAATTTATCTTTTGACTAATCAGAGCTAGCCGGCCGCCGTGGCACGCGGGTGCGGATTAGTGGTACGCGCTGTCGACAGATGGCGCTGCCTATGCTGACGCCGGAGTCGGACGGACGCGGTAGAGAAGGGTCGCCATCGCCCAAGTTGGCGTCGTTATGAAAATGTCAAAACTACAGCTGCGCTTCTTTGGACCTAACTGTACACGCACCACGGTGGCGGCGGTGAACTTCGAGGATGGAAAGATGCAGTTCAGCGATCGGAGGGCACCCAGGAAAGACCGGACGGAAGAGAACACGCCGCGGAGAGCACAATGGAGAAAATGGCGGGAGGTCTACCTCGAAAATGTTCGACTGTTGTGACAGAGATTGCAAGGTGGGAGCGCTACCGCATCTTATCTGGACTTCACCTGCGCAACGCAGGATCACGGGTGAGCACCTTTCTTCACGCGATGGGAAGAAAAGCTGAGGACGTCTTCACTAACAGACGCCAGCGGCCAATCTTCCTTCATCTCATGAATACCACCTCTGAAAAAGCGATTCAACCGTCGCAAGCAAGTGGCTAAACCCGGAGCGTGTACGTCACCAAACCTATTTAGTTTCATTCTCTAAGTTTTTGACAATAAAGTATTGTCAACCTTCCATTTTGTGCCATGTTTCATTGTTGCTGGAGTTGGTATATCAACTCCAACTGGGACCAGTTGTAACTGGGACCAATTCCAGCTGGGACCAACTCCAACTGGGACCAGTTGCAACTGGGAATTGTTCCATAAATTAGTTGCAACTGGGACCAACTGGTCCCAGTTGAACGACTCCAACTGGGACCAGTTGCAACTGGGAATTGTTCCATAAACCAGTTGCAACTGGGACCAACTGGTCCCAGTTGAAAATTTTCGCCTGGGATGTACTTTGATTAACATTGTAAGTGTGTAATTGCTTTAGTTAGCGCATTGTTCTTCATCGGTGAACAATGTTTAACTTCGCTACATTTCAGTCCCAAACGTCTGTTCTGCAGCAGGTGTGTAAAAACAAGCGACAATTCAAAACAAAATAACAATCGAAAGGAATGTAGAGTGCATGTGTTCATGGCCCACGAGCATTCCGGCGACGATTATATATTGATAATATGCCAGTCCTGTCACTATATGAAAATGACCCCATCGTGCATGAGCGGATAAAAACATTCAAATAAAGAATAAAATATGTGGGCTATGAAAGGTGTCTCTTCGTATTGTTTTCTCTGCCGGGCAGCTTTTATCGGGCAGTTGTTCTCAAAGATTTCGAGCATGCGGGTGATGTTTTCAACGCAGAACAAACATATCTTCGCACATGTGCACGAGCAGAAAGAACATGCAAAGCGGTACTTACTTATTTAAAATCGGAATATATTATGTGGCCTTAATCTATTTTGATCTTATATGCACGGGTAGTTACTGATCCAGCGTTACTGCGTAGTTCTTTCCGTCTCCCTTAATTTCCAGATGTCCTTCGTTCGTTTGGCACGTATATCCCTCATGCTTAAAAGTTCCGACGACGTGTTCGCACTAGCAGTGTCTGACAGTGGACATAAATACATGTACGGAGCCGTTAGAGTACCGTTTTTAATGCGATGAATTTGAAAGATAAACGCCGTAACTGACCGATCATTTCATCGGCCTGACTGAGAAATGTTACAAGCTACCCACTAAGTACGAATTATTCAGGATATCTGCTCTTAGGCCCGCTTCAGACGGGGCAACTTTTCCAGCAATTTTGAGGTTGCTGGCAGGTTGTTCCCTAGCTTTCCCTAGATCGACGCGAATTGCTGAGATCGGGTCCGGCTCGAACAAGCGAGCAACTCGGAGCAATTCGAAAACGATTGAAGCGACCGCAGCCAATCAGAAACGTGATATTTTCACGTGACACCGCTGTGGTGGTGATGATGACAGCTAAAGACTCAGTTCTGGTTTGAAATGGATCGTTTTCGGAAATAAACAGTTTCACAAAAACTAAATAGTATTCTCAACGCTGTTCAAAGATATAAGTACGCGTTTTTAGCGCGTAGCTGGGCGTCTAAATAGTGAAAGAAACGTCAAATTTAATGATGATGATGGCAAGTCGGAGCAATTCGGTTGCTGCGTGTGAACGCGGGCGGCCCGAGTTGCTGGTGTTGCGACGTCAAGTTGCTGGGTGAAATTGCTCCGTCTGAAGCGGGCCTTATCGAGAGCAGGGAGAAAATGCACTCACTCTTTCCCATAGAAATGCATTTTACCGGAAGTCAGTTTCGGACTGGTTGCTGTCTGCTTCAATTTGCGTCAGCACACTAGCGCCACTTGAACATCTAGCGTACATTATAATAACTCTATGCGTCTATACGCGCCAAGCACTTTGGGAGTTGCCATATTAATTGCTTGTGTTTACAAATCCAGATGAGCAGGAAGCGAACGGCACGCGTCTGTTCGTCGCTTCGAAAAAGGTCCAAAGCATGCGCACTAGGCACGAACGCCGACATATGACACCGGTCAAAAGACGCGTCCACACGAAATCATACCCGCCGGTGGAAAGAAAGCAGAGCTCCCGTGCACGAGCTCGAGTGGTAGAATAGGCGAACCTGCACGAGCCGAAATAGATGAAACAAGAAGCAACCCATGGACTCCAAGCTCGGAGGCCCGTAACGTCGCTTGTTTCCTCTCCCCTTCTTTTTGCACGTCTTATCTCTCACGCCTTTAATTTACGGGTACCGAATGTCAACTTGCCTTGGCCGTCTCCCATTGTAACGAACGACGTTGGGGAAACTCCACGACTCTGCCGCTAACCGCGACAGATCTTGTCGTCAGCGTTGTCAAGTTCGTGTTTCGCACGTTTTGGGGGCGAAAACGCGAGCGTCGGGGTCACAGTGGTCGGGGTCATCGCACGTGCCCTCGTCCCAGCTTCCTGCGCATTTGGAATAACACGGCGAAAGGCGAAAGTGAAACCGGTGAAACTGTAGTCGCTGTAGTAGTGTGGTCGGTGTGGTCGGGTCAGTAGTGTCGGTAGTGTGCTGTTTACTTTTTTTTTTTTTTGGGGGGGGGGGGGGGGGGGGGGGGCGAAGTCTCTAGGACGTGGCCTAAAAGTCGCCAGCTTTAGCGAAAATATGGTAAGTGGTGATGATGATGGTAACTTTCTTGGACTTTGTCTTTAGTTTTTGATTAAATAAAAACATCTGGTGGTATTTTTTTTAAGTGTTTCTTTAAATTACCATTTGCGCGACGAGACGAATGAACAGGCGCCTTGAGTCGGATGCACACTGTAGAGCTATCGAATATCCAACACAAATCAATCCAAATTTAGTTTTGGCGGCTAGTGGTTAGTGATGTGAGCAGTTTGTGCGTGTTCAGTGTCTCTAGTGCGTGTGGCATGCGCTTTGTTATTGCCAAGTTGTCGCTGATGTTTGTTTAGGCATTTTAACCCAATGTCAAACATTTATAAGAAATGGAATGTGAACAACACGGCGCATGGAGGACACGGACACATGGCGGACGGCGTTGGGGGCATGGAACAGCATGGTATTGTGACTTCGTGTTTGAACTTGTGAAGTTTATTTTTGCGTTTTATGACAAGAAAGATTAACGCTTGTCCTTTGTCCCCCTTCTCCAGGGTTTATTATTGTTATGATAATATAATTATTTGCTCCCCCAATATGCTGGTGGCAGCAGAAAGACCGAAAATCCGAGCCACAGTCCTGAATGGACCTTTTCCGAGAAGCGTTCTGCGCACGCGCGAGCGCCCGATGCCAAGCGGTGGAAGTCGGCACGAAAAATCGAGGAAATTCGGAATGAGGCTGTAGATCGACGAGTAGAACACGTAATTGCAGCATATATATAATTGTGTTACACAGAAAAAGAAAGTGGACGGAACGAAAAACAACGTTTGGGTGGACGCTACGGATTTCCCTCTTTAAAGTCGCGTTGGACTCGCGACGCAGCTCAGAGTGCGGAGCAAGTGGTAGCTTAGCTCCCATTATTGATTGGTAGCGCAGGTAGGTCACTTCCTCGATTTTTAGTTTGTGCAGCCACCGCCTGGTGCCGTCGGTATTTGGAAAAGGTCCATTGCTTTGTCTTGCTGCGTCTACAATGCCGTCCGACGGCACTCCACTCGCGCCTTCAAATGCCGTCGGAAAGAGCGTCGGACGGCAGTGCATCACTGAAGAGCTCGTTAACCCCCCCCCCCCCACCCCCTCCCTCTCTCCTTCCCTCCCTCCCTCCCTTCCTTCGCGGCGACAGTATGCGGCTGCTAATTACAGAACTAGTAACCCACTTGGCCCCGTTGTACACGCCGCTTTGCGGCGTCCAGCCGCAACCCAAGCCAGCCGAGTGCAGCTGTTGCCTCCACCGTGGTAAGGAAAAACTAGCGCCACAAGTCGCAAGTGGCAGAAAGTATGGCGTGAGACTGAAAAAAGTAAATCAGTCAGTCAGTCAAATGGGCCAAAACTTTTTTAAAACAGGGCGGTAAAACAGTAAATCGTCTTCAATTTGCCTCCAGGATCACATATATCGAGATTATTTTTAAATTTGGTGCACGGAGGGTGCAGAAATTAATTTTTAAAGTACCGCTAATATGACGTCATGCCCCTCCTTCCTGGGGCGTGACGTCATATTAGTAGTTTTCGGAGACTCTGCTCTCGCGCATCTTCAGCGCCTGTCGAAGCTGTGCACGCGCACTCTTGCTATTCTCAAAGAGGTCAGAGAGAGACGTCACGACTGGTGCCAGTGCAGAAAAATATACCTCGCAAGCTTGCAATTGCACACACTGCTCACACGAGAAACTTTTGGATCTTTAGGATTTTTTTGGGCTTGGTGGCCCAAAAGATCCTAGTACGACGTCACGACTGGTTGGAGGTTTTTTGTGTTTTCTGGCGTTTAGTAACAACTTCAAAGGAAACAAAAGTGATATTATGATTCACGTGATAAAAATACGCCAGAAGTTACCTCTAACTCATTTTTTTCAACGAGTGTTTCAACTTCCTTTTAAAGCCTTCAAGGGGCACTACATAAGGAGCGCCGGGTGCAATACACAAAAACACATACATATGGAACATTATATGAAAATAAACGACAAAGGGAGAAAAAATGGAACAAAACATTCTTGGCCTGGCCCTTCCTGGTACGGCGCCTGCCACACAAAAAATGGTTTTAGTTACATATTTACTATGGATGACACTGCATTTCTAAAAAGATATGGGTTTCTGATGTGAACTATGTTGTCCAGCGGATCGTTCCATTCTAATAGGGCAATCGGAAGAAATGTGAACGTCCTCTGGAGAAGATGATTACACATATGAGGAGTTGTTAGCCAGCTGTTTTTTTTTTTTCCCTATCCTTTCAACATGTGTTTCTGTAAGTTCAAGCTCACCTATCACCAGTATGTACCAACTGGTTCAACTCAAGCCTGTAACCAAGTTTCTTTCTTGGAGCCAGGTTTTCCCCACAAGATTAAAAATTTCCCACGATTTCGTCACATACTGAATTCTAGTCTGCACACCTGTAGTTTATTTGTGAACACATGGAATCCAGAAAAGGGGACGTTTGTTGCATGAGGTGTCCATTGTTTGTCGTGCAAAAACCCAGCACCCGGTTAACTTTCACTTTTAGCCTGTTAGATCAGGCTTTTTTTTCCTGTAATGTACTGTACAATCGAATGGCAGAAAGCAGATGGTCAGAGGGGAACTCTGGCGGCTTTTGAGGTCCCCAAGTTAGGCTATTGTTTTGGAATACCCTGACTTTATACTCTTGCCGTTCTACTTTTTGTCATCTCTAAATTCACAATAGCTATTAAGAAAACGGAAATTAAAGACGACGTCAGAGCCAACTTAAGTTAAAGTTTCCCCACACTTTCCCCTGGCACAATGTCACATGTTGTGTAAAATTCGCAGGTTGAGCAGCCAGTCTACAAAACAGAGTATGTCACACTTTTTTTTTTTTTCGTTCTGATGGAGCGAGTTTTTATGGCATTCGTTTTGCACTATCAAACTTCTCGTGAACTTCGTGAACAGGTTATACTGTCCAAATTGCAAGATCTGTCATAACTATTTCAGTGTTGGCAGTAGAGCTCTTCGCTTAAAAAAAACTGTGAGGACCAATCTTAAAAATTGAATAACTTTGCAAACAGTTTATTTGGACCCATTATTTAGGTTACTAATTCAGCCATGTCAATTTGGTATGTTGAACAGGGTGTCTAGCGACCATGAAAACCGGGAATTGTCAGGGAAATTTTAATCACCGGGAACAATCAGGGAATTGTCAGGGATATCCTAGAAAAGCGAGCTCTGTCAGGGAAAATGAGCTGTGAACGCCATTGAGTTTCCTGAGCAGAAAAATGGGCAATGAATTCTGCTTAGAGCATAGCGCGGGCTCTGCTCACCCGATGTAGGGTACGCTACCCGATGCAAAGGGAAGAGCCGACAAATCCAGTCCAAGCCTTGGATGGATTGAATTTGATTGAGGGCGCGACACTAGGCTAGATTCAGTTAGAGCTACTAGATTTAGTAACAAATGGGAAAGTCGCAGACCCCAATTTAATCCAAGCCTTAAGCCGAAAGTGTGCATCTGGCGGCCATGCAGCCATGCAGCCATGCAGCCACGCTACTATTCGGTTATTGACGTGTGTGGTTGAGCGTCGTGTTTTCATAGTGTTTCTGGGAGTGGCCTCTTCGTTGACGATGTCAGCTGCCAGAAAGTGCTCGTTTAATCCGTACTGGGCAAACCCGAATATTTCAGAATATGCAAGTTGGATGAAGCCTGTGCAAAATGATCTTCACAGTGCTCAATGCTCAATGCCTTGTGTTGTAATGGTGTCATATACTAAACCACCTCTACAGTGGTCAGGGAATTTCACCTGAAATTGTCAGGGAAAACCTAAAAAAGTCAGGGAATTTTAAAATAATAATTTGCTAGACAGCCTGGTGGAACCAATATTTTAGCAAGTCTGCGAGCATCAAAATTTCATTCTTTAAGACAAATATCTTTGCCTATATTTTTTTTTTTTTGGTTCTCTCTTATGTTTGATGTTGTAGTTCCAAAGTAGCTGTTGGTTTGTTATGAAGTTTACACCAGTACTGTTTCAAAACGCTGCAGTTTTTTTGTTTTTACGGTATCTATTGTTTTCTTTTGCAGGAAGGATTGTCTTTGACGGTGGTGCATGTCCAAGACATTCACGTTTTTGTAGTGCCACACAACTGCAAGGCAAGCACGTCTCACTGGAATGCTTCTGACAGTAGTAAGTGATCGTCTGAGATTTGCTTTTCTCGCGGGTTCCCCTCTGGATGGTGATGCATTTTATTTCTCGTGCCCATACCTGAAGGGGAATGCGGGCTCTTCAAAACTCGAAGAGGATGGAAAATGGCCTAGAGGCCCAACTTTGTTTTGCCGATACAGGTGCAAGTGACTGTGGTTTGGTAATGCGGCTTTACCACATAATGAAACAGACGTGCACCACATTATCCATGTTTACACTAGAGACTGAGAGCACGAACGGAATGCCTTCGAAGACTCCAACAGTGCCTGCGCTAGGGCTAGAACACCTGCCTCTTATGCGGGGCCCCTCCGTTCGATCGGCAAGGGACACAAGGGACCGAAGGCTTAAGTATCGTTGGGGGAGGGCGACTCGTCACGGGACTTGCATTGGCGACGGATGCCATGGTGTGTGTGTGCGAGTGATATAGCCATGTAACCAGTTTAACCACCTTTAGTTCAATGCTAGTATGTATGTATATTAAACACTTACCATTATACTACTTGCGCCTCTCCTCTAGGGAGCAGAAAGTTTAACGCTTTCAAATCACAGGGATGGAACTGCTGCGCCAATTGCTCCATTGTGTGCCTATTGACTTTTCATGCGCCACACTGATACAAAAGTATAAATAAGAATGAAATTGTGCCAAGGTGCGCCCAAACTGAAATTATAAACGATCCTCGTCGAAGTTAGTCGTTTCGCAGTTTCTGTTGGCGACATCGACATCAGAACTTACGGCCCAAAGGGAACGCCAGTGGATTCGATTCCGAATCCCAAGCTC